CGCTGGCTGAGGAGCGCCAGGGTCCAGATGGAACTAGCGTTGTCTGTGACAGCATGCGAACCGCTAGTGGTGTGATGATGAACAGGCGGGCTCACTTCGGGATACCCGAAATTACTACCCGGAATCAATACGCAAGATCTGTTAACTTCACCTGAACACAGTGTTTCTCAGAGTTCACTAGGGTCCACCGTGGCAGGCCAGCCACGACGGAGAGTTCAATGGACTAATAATTAGAATAAAAATACCATAAGTTTGTACTTTCGCATTACCCGTTGCGATACAATCCCTATAGTATACAGGCAGGAATTGCAAAGATGTTTCATTCAACAGTACCCACATTTATCCCACCTCACTGAGAATAATATCGCAGATTTTCAAAGAGCGCTGGATAACACTTGGTAAATGGCGGCAAATTTTATGTCTCACGTGCCAGAGAAAAATGAGATTAAAGCAGACGTAAAAGTAAATAATAATCCGCTTATAATAATAATAATAATAATAATAATAATAATAATAATAATAAATAATAATAATGTCTTTATTAATAGGCGAGGCTCAGGCCATAGGGGCCTGCCTTTCCGCGCCTAACCACTGAATTTTACGCTACATTTAGAGTAGTAAACATTTTAAGAGGGGAGGACAGCTGTACATTTAGCGTATTGGTAAACGTTACGTACAAAAGTACTGTTAGAAACACAAATAAACATTGAAGCTGCAACAACTCCCATACCACAAATGCATATCTCATCACAAGGTTCGCAAGATACTCTGTTCATTGAGCTTCCAGGACAAGATATGCCTAGATATCACCTACGTGAAAAGCTGGCAGTTATCGAATATGAGGGGATGGATCTTCCTCTAAGACTAAGAATCCCAAAACAACTCAGTTCAAAAAACTGGTCATGCTGGTCAAAGTAGCATATGAACAAATTTTAGTTAATGACACCTCAGATATCATGATATATGACCATCTCCCCTGTGCATTATATTATATGGCAGTTGCAAAAGTGAGGATGAATGGCGGAAAAATATCTGAAATCCAATCAACTCAGGATTCCTAGGAGGATTTCAAGGAGAACCCCCAAGGAAAATCCAGTCGCGAAAATGGATCGAACACCTTAGATGAAATAATGGAAGATTTCCAGAGAGGAGATGGAAGTAAATTTTTGCGAAATAAAGTAGCATATATTAAGAGAAAAAATCGCATCACACACCACACAATGACAAAACACACACCACAATAATGACAATACACGTTTTTTTGACTTTATCGATACCTGAAACAGCAACTGAAACTCCATAGCCAACATAATTATTAAGCCAACATTATTAATCTAGGTATTTTACCATTACCTTGTCTCTTAATATATGAATCAGTGGTTTTTGTCAAAAATGACTTGCTTAAGGGCGGGAATATATTTTCAACAAACGCCCTTGTCTATAACTACAACACTCGACG